CTGTCTCCAGCAAAGTGATCTTACACTCCCATTTTAAGACACTGAGCTCATTTCACACAATTTCAGGCTGTGTGGGTCAAAAGATAAGAACATCAGTTAAACGCCTAATGTGAAGAAACTTCTATCTCTGTATCTATTGATTTGTTTTTGATCTGAGAAAAGCAAATAATGGCATTTTGGGGTAGACTGATTGCTAGCAGTTATTTAGCAGTGGATTTACTTTATAAAAATGCCTGAGCTTTTTTTTAACTCCCTTGTAATAAACATACTATACAGTATAAGAGATGGCATTTTTGCAGCTGCACACTGCCATGATTTTTGACATTTATATACCACAATGGAAAGAGATTTGTGTCTTTATAGTGTCATCTTTTACTTATCTTTTTCCCCAAATGTTAATGAAAGCAGCTATTTTAGGGATGGCACATTTTCCTTTTAAGAAGATGACTCTGAAAAGGTTTTAAACCCAAACAAAAGCATGTAGATAAACTCTAAGAGGTGCATTGTAATCCCTCATTCATAACATGATAATCACTGCATTTAGGGCAACAGGGACTGTACCTGGTAAGCTTTAGATGCACTGTTTGTTTACTTGTTGGCAAATGAAAAAGATCTGAAAGTCAGCTGTCTCACCTGTTCGAAGCTGTTTGATACGACCTTGGCTGGTGCTGGGTTCGACAGGCTTTGAACCAGGAGATCTCTGGGTCATGAATGCCACTGGCAGCGCACAGCATGGTGGCCGTCCTCGTCCGCTCCACCACCTTCAGCTGCGGACCCATGTCGATACTGGGGAAACCAAATGGCAACAAGTCCTCTAGAAAGATGGAGATTAAAAACAGAATTCAGAATGGATAGAAGCAGGCAACACTCATAACTCACCATAAACACTCGCTGCCTGGAGCTAAATGCTAACAATGCTAACATGCATAGTACATATAATGATCACCACTGTTATTGCTGTGCATCCTAAGGGGGGGGCACTGATGGCAGTACCATACTTTATGGCAATCCATTAAATAGTTGTCAAGACAATTTCACTCAGCCTCAAATGTCAACCTCATGGTGACACTAGAGGACAAGTCAGGGGATCAACCAAGTCATTAGGATTTATTGATAAGCCAAGCAATTGCTCATACTTCATTTTGGGGCAAATCCTCTAGGACAGTAAAGAACAAATGTGATTACTGTGTTTATTATTTATTAGTACTGGGACAGATAATCTGCAGTTTTTCAAAACACAAATGCCTGGGTTATCTTTGTGCACTGAGCCAGCACTGACTCTGCCATTCACCCAATCCTTACTTTCCTTCTTTTATAATGAAACCTAGGACTTGTTCACACACACAGTGATGTGAGAGCCACCCCCCCCAACATCTGCAGGCCCTTGAAAGTGGAGATACTGGCAAGGACAGTGGAGCCACTATATCCTTCCTCATCAAAGCCGTTCCTTCCTACAGCTAGCTAGTCATTAGGTGATCTAGCAGGCGGGCAGAAACACAGCTAGGTTTTATTATGTGTGTGACAGGCTGTTTTTAGAGGAGTATAAACATACCGCCCAGTCAGCAGGAGTTAACTTAAGTGCTGACACATGCACACACACATATAAACACAGTCACATACACACAGACATGCCACACATGCATAGAGTACATTCTTAACCTTGAAACACAGGTGTTTGGTGGCAGGGACAGTAAACTTTGAGCACTTTTTCCGTGGTGCGGCTCTGCGTTATGTGCTGGTAATGATTCCTGTCTAATAACTATGCAGAGAGCTGCTCAGAAACAGCAGCAGCAATTAGAAGCTGGGATCAAGAGGATAGGCAGGGCACTGGGGGTAATAAGGACTTGTTAGTAGTAATTGTTAAAATGTACCAACGATTAGTGAAGCCAATCTGGGATGTGTCTGCATGCGTCTGGATATGTCTGATTACATTGTTGGGCAGTGGATGTTGTGTATGTGCCTCTGTATGTATTTCTTTCTTTCTAAATCTATGTTCCTATTAGCATTTTCACTGATTTTGTATATTGTGTGGAATAATGTATGGTGACATATCCACACATGTCAAGGAAAATGAAGGTGTGTGCATGCTTAAAACCAGTTGCTTTCTATTTCACACACACTCAAACATTCACATACACTTTCTCTGGTGAATGGGATTAAACATCCCTGTGACAACAGTCCAGATGGCCAGACACGTAATCAAGCATCCATCAGCCCTCCTGCTTCCTCCTCTCCTTACCCTTTTAACCACTCTCTCTCTCTCTCGCACATACACACGAACACCTCCTCCATACCTGCAACTATAATTATATATTTCACTTTCCTACAGCAGCGAAGCAATTACCACGATAGCAATTTGCTTAGGCCAATAAATCAAACCCAGGAGTCTCTTGATTGTAAAAAAGAAACAACAACAAAATACACTAAACATTTGCTAACTTGAGATCTGTATCAGTGACTGAGCCAAACACAATCCAAGACACAGATCGTGGCCACGTCAACTGTCTGTGTGTTTTCCTCCGCTCCTGCTCTGGGCCCCCTGCTACCTAATCACATGACAGACGTGCACCATCTGTTTCCACACAGTCTGCAACGGGGTGAGAGGCTGAGTGGATATAGGATCTATTGCTCTCTTTCTTAGTTTCCACAGTCATCAGTTTTGGAGAGACCCTGTCAAACCGGTGCTGATGGAGTGGCTAAAAGAATGAAGAAAGGAGAAATGCCACAGAGGAACAGAGAAAAGTCAAACCACAAACAAGAGTCAGGAGACGATCAGGCATCATATCATCCTTCTGACATCAGGTGATGGAGACCGAAGTGGAGGGAGGAAACCGCCCCTCCCCTCTCCCCCTCACTGGCCTTCCCCCCTCTACCATTCCAGATTGATTAGTGCTAATGATCCACCTGAATGGAGGCCAGTGGTGTGGCCATTGATGAAACATGGAGGAAGAGAAAGAAAGGAGGGGATCGATAGGCAGGTCAGGTGGTGAACTCCTCTGGGGTGAGGAATATGCTAGGCCTACATCTGCTTCCCCCCACCCCCCAACTCCTGAGAGGGTTCAAATGGTCTTTTTATCACCCCGCTGGCTACCACTACATGGACTCCCTGGCTGTTAATTAGAGCACACCACAGCAACAGGATCGTGGCATGTGCATGCATGCATGGTGTGTGTGTGTGTGTGTGTTCGCAGGGGGTCTGGCTCTGTATTCCAATCAGGACTTTATCAATGCTGCCAATATAAAGTGTTGGTGGACATTGGATTCAGTTATTAGAAAGAGGTAGGGGGAACTATATTAACGTTAAGTTTCTACATATATGTTTTTTCTCTCTTTCTTATGCAAACAAAGGGTGAAGATTACATTTTAAACATTTTTTTTACACTGATTAACTGTGACTAACAGCTTTGGATGTGTAACTTCACATCTAGTAAACAGATCTTTTGAAAAAACAAAGAGGTAGGATAAACGAGTAGAGATGAGGATGGATGGACAGACAGGCATGGATAAAATGTAATGGAAAAATTTGTTAGAACACAAGGTGACAAAACCATATATTCAAATTACAATGGTATTAAGTAGCAGATATTGATATTTGTGAAGATGCAATCAGCAAATGTTTGGTATTTTTCCTTAAAAAAATACATTCAGTGTTATTTTACTGTTATTTTTTTGCAGACATTTGCAAAGTTTAAGCAATGATAATATATTCAAATACAGCGCATAATTTGATTATATAATATAATAGTCTCTTCAGGATTAATGTAAATGAAGAGGATTTATGTAATGAAACATCAGCTACAGGCAGATCCATGATCATCGAAGGCAATTAATCTGTAGTTTTCTGTGGCCTTGATAGGTTCTATACTTGTACTGTGTGTAGGAATACATAAACAGTTAAGAAGCGTCTAACTGTTCTTTGAAAATTAAAGTCTCTACAGTGGTTCATCAAGCGACTCTTGCCTTGCAGGTTATAGCAGTCCATCAAGAGTCCACCAGAGAGAGAGAGAGAGATACATAGATAGCAGACTCGAACTCTGTCTTGCAGGTACAGATAAACCAGCAGACACTGGACACTGAACTACAGTTCACTGGAGAAGCTACAGGTATTGCACCAGGCTCTTGGATGAGTCAGCGGCTGCTTGAAATAGATACTGCGGGCATGGCCTTGATCACACTTTCACCAAATGAATCATTTATCAAACACAAACACTGCTGCACAGAAGTACCGCTTATTTTTCATCTCTTGGTTAAATTGACAAGACAGCCTATGGAAAAATGCACCCTGTGTGTATAAACACTGTGTGTGTCAACAGTGTTTGGGGGAACATTGGCAAGGACCAACCAGTATTGTTATCCAGAGCTTTGTGTTTGTATGAATTTGTGCGCATCAAGCGGTTGAGAGTGTGCATTTTGGCCCAGTTATGTTTACAGAAGGGCAATCAGGCCTGGTGCCCAAAACCAGTCAATGGAGCCAACCAGATCTGGGCAAATATGCAATTCATGTGTCCACACACACACACACACACACACACACACACACACACACACACACACACACTAGCACAGAGAGAGACACACAGAGTCAAACACATAATGCATATGATGCAAACAAACAAACATGAATCCAGGTCTTCTCTCCCTGTCTCTCTTTATAGTCTCCTCTCACGCACAGTTACCCAGCAGAAATACACACACACACTCACACACACACACACACCAACACTCCTTTCCACACAGGAAATCATCATTTGCCTGTAGAAGCCTATTCATTTTTCAATTCATTTCAGTAGGAAATGGCCATGTGCATGAAAGAAGCCTGGATAAAAGCTGATCTCAGAGAGCCTGATTCAGAATTAATCTGCCAGCACTCAGCAGCCCTACAGAGGCTGTAATGCTTTGACTCCTATAGACTGCAGGAGGGCTGAAGGGGGAGCACTTTAAATGCTAATGGACCTTTATGATAATAGATCACAATATAATGCAGAATCAGACTTAGCATCATAGATCAATCCTGCCAAAATCCCACCGGTTCCCAGCATCCAGAGCCCTACCTACAGCTCCAACAGCTGGGGACTAAACACAAAAAAGATGATGATCCCACACGCTGCACTCTATTACATGCAAACATGCATGAAGAACAGACTGCAAGAAAAAGCAAAAAGAAGAACGGAACAAAAATCAGCACAGATGAGGGTGTATATGTGATGAAAGAGCTGCTTCTCCACTCAAGGAGTGTAATCCGCTTGCTGGCTGAGTTGATACTCTTAGTTGTTTCTGGACCAAAGTACTGCTTGAGCTACCGGCCTGCCAATGCAGCAGATGCCTGGGCCACTGATTTGACTCTCTTGTTCATATGAAGGGTGTTTGCCATGGTGGCAGAACATCTCTCTTCCCCCTTTCTTTCACCCTCTTCCTCCCTGTCCCTCGTCTCCCATTCTCCTAAAATGGGACACTGGGAGGTAAGTATAATCAGGATTACTCTGCTCAAACCCCCCCACACGCACAGAGATATGCACAAACTCACACACTTGTAAGTGAAGAAATCCACGCATTCAAACACATGCACAGTCGTGACAGTTGCACACACACACACACACACACACACACACGCTGCTGCAGTGATGAAAATCTCTCGCCCACCAGAGGTTTTCAAACATGCAGAACTGCATATAGTCACGTCTCCTGAAGGTGGAACAACACAACTGCAGTGTCCATAGAAAAGAGCAGTTTAGGTGGAAAGGGAATTGGGGTGAGTTGGGAGGGGGTGGAGCAGCAGAGCCTGTAAAATGCAAACCGAGGAGAAGAGAGAGAGAGAGTCCAGATAGACACTGAGGGTCAGGCAGAATAGATGGCTGAGAAAATGAAAGAATGAATAAAACAAGAGAGAAGAAATTAGAAATGGACATTGCTGTGGGCCAAAAACAGACAGATATAGTGAGGACTAAGAAAGAAGGAAAAAGAGTAGGTAATGTGATGGTAAGGGTGATGTATGATGATGTATGATGATGTTACTGAAAGCACAGCAAAGAAAGATCTCCCTAACCCTAACCTACCACATCTCGATCCATTAGCCAGCCTGTAGAGTAGTAGCCCATATCCTGTGGCCTACCACAGGCCCTGTACGCTATATAACCATTATACAAAATGGTGAGATGAAACACCTCAGGGGATGAAAAAATTTTTAGTGAAGGGGTTTGGTCAGTAATGGAAAGTTTCTTTTCTACTTCAGTGGCCGGTGGCTCTATTCTCTACTTGGCTGTGTTTGGAAAGAGAATGACCCAAACACAATTTATTCAGACTTCTGTGCATCTAACGGCATTCTTTGTTGACATGATCTATCACAAACTATATCCCTCAGCCAGTGGTAGACTATAGGGGTGTATGGCTTTGGAGCAGTATTTGGTAGGACGAGGTGCCTAATGTCCCACTACTTTTCTGCATACACGGTGCTTGGGATGGACACAACATCACCAATAGAAAAGATGAGCAAATGTGTCAGAAAAACTCTGGTTGTTTTGTGGATTAATCATTTAACTACTTTGTCAATAAAATCGTGAAAAGTGGCAGTTAAAATTTCCAAGGTGACTTCTTCAGATGTCTTGGTTTATCTAACAAACAGTCCAAACCCAAGTGATATTCAGTTTACTGTTTACAACAAAACACAGTATAACATCCTAAAATTTGATGCTATCTGTCTGCAACCTATGCATCCTTATCTAGTGCTTGACAAAATAAACTGTCATTGGTGATGTTCTGAATATGCTTGATGCTTTTGGGTCAAATACAGTTGTCACTGATTGTAGTCCAATACTCTTGATTATTGGAAATAATACATCAGCTGATTAGGAACAATCAAAGACAGGTGATTCTTTGTCACAGAGGGGCCAGGGGATGTCAAGGTATACAAATCTACTTAAAAGAAAAGTGTACACAAACAGGAATGACACACGCATTGAGAGGCTTGCCCTCGAGGTGTAGTTTATGTGGTAATGTGCTGTAGATTGGGGCTGTGTGTGCAGAGATGAGGGGCCGGGTAACAGATGGACAGGAGTCTATTCCCTGGGCTACCAGCCTCCTGCTTACCACACAGTCCTGCCAGCTCCACAATCCTCATCCATCTCCTGCACTTCTACCCCCCCTCCACCGCTCCTACGACATGCCATTTCATTTTTATTGTTTCACGCCATCCTGTTGTGTTATTCAACTTACCCCCACCTCCTCACCCTCCATCATACTGCTTGTTGCCTGTCTTTGACCTTTTCCTCCCGCCTTCCTTCTCTTCCTCAATTTCCCTTGGTAGAAATGGGTTGTCTGCCAAACCAACGGCTAATCCCCTGATTTTTCTTCATGTAGTAACAGCCCAAACAGCCATCCCTCTATTTCTTCTTCTCTATAATGACCAGTGCTCAGATCCCAGCCTTGCAGCCACATGCTGCAATTTTACTTCATCGCATGTTGGAGCACCACATTAGATAAGTTTCCCTCCAAGAAAGCAATGTATTAGATTAACACCCTCACTGTGGCCAGGAAATGCAATGATTACAGCAAGCTTGGATGCTGAAATACCTGTTAGCTATAGCGCACTAGCGAGCCCTCTCTGTGGCCAGATCACACTCAGGCGCACTCAGAGGGACTATAAAAAGAACAGTTCACTGCAGCCTGCTGTGGAGGCAGGGTGTGGCGAGGCTCTGTTGCCACATCCACAACTGACAGCCCAGGCAACCGGGGATGACGTCTGAAGCCAGGTGCGTGTGCACTTTGAAAGACAGCATCACTCAAGTGGAAAAGGATGGAGACAGGGGGGTGTATGTTTGTGTGTGTGTGTGTCTGTTTTTTGCCTCACCTCTAATAATGGCGAGCTTTGCAGTGACGGACACCTCTCCCTCACTGTTGCGTGCCACACACTCGTAGATGTTCTCATCTCGAGGTGCTCTGAGCGGCTGGATCCTCAGCACAGCACCTGCACCCTGATCAAACTCTATTGTCTGGACAGCCACAGAACCACAAGAAAAAAACACATCAGTCACAGCAGAGTACACAATCGGTTCACCATTAAAACTACAAACTTTAATGTTGCATGTCAGTACTGTAGCATAGTTTGCTTTTACAATAGCAATATGACAGTAATGAAATACTTTATTGACCTCCTGGGGAGAAAGTCAGCACAGATACAGAATATGTACCTGTACACACGATCCTGCAGCAGGTAGCAAGTCAGTGTCCTGCACAAAGACACTTCAGCAGGGTAGATACTTACCGACATGTGGGGGTGGATGTGGATCTTCTGGTTGCAATGCAGTATTTCTAAGCACTAGGTCACATTACCGCATCAATATACAGTCAGGTCTCTACTGAGCTGTAGAACAGTAACAACTCTCTGGAATTGCCTGCTTGACAATATTTAGCTTTTGGCATATTTGCATCTTGCTGAAAATTCAGTTCAATGCAATCTCTAAAGTGTTAAAATTGTTGTGAAACTTTATGGCCTGTGCCTGAAAGATGCAACAATGCTGTAATGTTGTCAAATGATTATTTTAAACAAATACTATGACATTTTGAGCTTATCCATTGTCTTGCAAAGTGAGAAGATTAATACCGCTCTAATGTATTGCTTTACCTATGGAATTAGAAATGGGTAGTGAAAGAGCTTAGAAGACTAGAAAAGGGGAAACAGCTAGCTTGGCCTGGCCTTGTCCAAATTTAAAAATTCCACCTAAAAGCTTTTTTAAGACAAACTGTTCAACACCTGATCCTGATATATTGTATATTCACTGAATATTAATGACTAATTTTGGAGGTCATATATAAACCTGATACTGCACCACATTAGCAAGGCATGGCTGACAAAATTACACTTGACACACTTAATCACTTGGTGTCCTCGGTGCCTAAACGTTTTTTAAGTGGAATGACAACATCACACCATGGTTACTTGTTTTTGGAATGTGTTGCAGGCATCAGAATTGAAGTGAGTGTTTATTTTGAACAAAGAATAAAATTGGTGGGGTATCGCATCCGATAATGTGCTGCTGTAATGTTTTCAATGTGATACAGGACACAGATGATTTACACGTCACTATTTTCAGTTTTAATTTAGATTTTACATAGTGTCCCAACTTCTTCTGATTTGTGGTTGTACTTAAAGTACTAAACGTAAAAATACTCATTACACAGAATGGCACTTTTCACATTCCTTTATATCACATTATTGTATTATAATTACTGACACATTATTGTGTCCATAACAATTAATGTTGCAGCTGGTAAAGGGAGAGCTAGTTTATATGCATTTAATTTGAATTACTGCTGGGTAGCCGGTGAATTTTCCACCATAGATCTGTGAAGTTTTATAATTATACTGTATTTTTGTATTATTCTCTTTCTGAAAAGTAACTAGTAACTAAGGGTATAAAATAAATGTAGTGGAGCAAAAAGTACCTCTAAATGTAGGGAAGTCAAAGTTTGAATTAACAGAAAATGAAAATAGTCAATAGAACAGATTTAAAAAATGTGATTAATTTGCGATTAACAATCATACGATTTTGATTTTAGCACTTTATATTATATTATATTATACTGCATATTGTATATACAGTGCATATTTTATATATGCACTGTATATACACACATTTTTGTTGTTTTGTTGTTTTGGAGCCGAGCTAGCTGAGTACCCCTGTTGCTAGTCTTTGTGCTTGTGCTCTAGCTTCATGTTTATAGAAGTAAATCCCTGCCAAAATGAAGGACAGAATTCTGAGCATAACAGATTATTTAAGTGAGCAACAGGGATCTTCCTTCATGCTTTAATGTGATTCTGCTCTTACAAATCTGTGCCTATGTGCTCTCAATTTCTGATCTGCAAACTGAAGAGTACTCAAAATGTGGTTTGTACATCCTCTGATGTTTTGGCAGGGATTTACTTCCATACAGACACGAGAGTGTTATCAGTCCTAGTATCTAACTCCCATATGTATTTCACATAATGTAAAACAATTCCTTTAAGAAATAAGGTTGTAGCATATCTAGAATACAAAACAAAATTTTAACAATGCATATTAAAAACAATATCTAATCAGGCACGATTTATCTATCTAGCAATAAACAACCTAGACATAATAGTTACTGTTCTATGTTCATAAATCCATTTTTAACTGGATATAAATATTTGTATTTGTCATGCTACTACAGAAAGAGTGCACCATTGTGCACTGTGACAACCACCTCAATACGCTGAGAGTTGACCTTCTTGCCCTTCTTGTTCCAGTAGACAACAGGCTTGGGATTGCCAGTGGCCTGACACACAAATGATGCAACACCCCCTGATACTCCAATCTGGTCTGTGGGAATCTTGGTGAACTTCGGGGGAGCTGTGAGCCAAAAAAAGGGGGGTGGGGGGTGGGGATGGAGAAAAACAATCAAAACACACGCATGAAAACTGACACCCTTACACCCAAAGGACACCAACCCAATTCCACATCCAGCATCAACCCACTTGCTGACCACGCCCCATTTCACTGGCCAGGCTGACTTGCGTTCTGATGGCTCTGTGTTGTGCTTACTTCCTGGGTATCATCTAGAGGACACACTGAAGGACTTCCTGTGGGTCATAAATAAAAGATGGGGTTGGGCTTCAGAGGAACATCTCTCTCTGCATCTGTCTCACTCTCTCTTTTCACTCTTTGTGTTTCCTTCAGTGTAGGCTGCTCTCGTACCGCATGCAGCTCGGGCTGTCGTGACACATGAGTGTTTCACAGGTAGGAGAAGTGTTGGCTGCAAATTCACGGCATATAATTGGTTTAACTGTATTAATACCAGAGGTGTCATTTTGTGTCTGCACACTCTAATGCCTATAGAGAATTTGTACTTTCAGACTCTGACAATCATAACAAATACGATTTATATGCCAACATTAGTCAGGTTAATTTCCAGCTTTGCCTCAGGGGGCGAATTTGAGGAGAACAATTTAGACTGTGGTGATGCATCTGATGTGAGATGTATAAGTACAGCAGGATGAAAATTGCCTCAGCAAGAAAACAGCTATTTCCAACTTTGATATTGAGCCAACAGCACTGAACCTATATTTTTCACAGTGGCTGAGTCAGATCAATCAAACAACTTCATGCACCTACCCTGTGCTATCTGTCTGTGGCCTGTTGCTATGGAGTCCAGCTTAACTCCTCCTCAGCTACAGAATCACTGCTATCCATCACAGTGAAGTCAGGATGACCCTTACCATAGCAACCTGAATCCCTCCTCCCACCTCCCCTATGTCTGGGTGGGTGAGGTCCTGCTGTGTTGATTCACTTCTGCTCTGAAGACAGAACAGGAACAACAAAAAAAGAAAAGAACAGAAAACTGCCTATCAAATGGCCACTAGCAGATCTTATAGCCTGGTCACAAGTCTTCCCACTCCTGGTCACTCCACAGTTTAACAACCACACACACCACTTTCCAGTTTCACTACAATGCCTCGATGCTAACTGGAATAATACCATGTCAAAAGGCTGCTCCTGTGCCTGCTGCACTCTGTTGTGCCTCTAAGAGGACCACTCTGAATGGCAGAAATAAAGAGGCTTCATTTTATGCTCGCCATAATTCTAAACAGGAAGAAGCAAAAAGCTGGTACCGTATAGTCAATCAGAACAAATTCATGCTCACCACTTTACGGCTCAAGAACAGCATATTACCTGCCTGTTAAACTCTGAGAACGGCACACACGGTATTGAACAAACTGCTCCTTTCTCCTGCCAACAATATGGGAACATGAACTAAATCCTAGAAAAATAAAAATGTCATGAGCTCCTGGCTATGGGATCATGAATGAATTTTATGTGCTTTTTTTAGGGCTTGAACATGGGTTTCAGTGGTTTTAGGCGCTTCAATGGCAATCCTAGTGCAACACTGACCCCACTGGCAATGTTACTGTTTAACCTCTAGAGTCCTGAGCTTTGGAAACCCAAGCTGTGCGGTCCTCATATGAGGACGCAGGGACTCTAGAGGTTAAGCCTTTTCCAAAAGCTGAGCAAAAGCCCTGCAAGGCACAGGCTCTGGACAGATCTGCACTGAACAGAAAACTTGTTATGATCGGAAGGTTCTAGAAAGCTGGCTGGAAAATGAGGGACTAATGAGGAGCTCTGTCTCTTTGATAGTGGATTTCACTTTTGACTGACCGCTGCTGCTCAGATATGACTGGGACCAGTATGGGGGGGTGTGCTTTGCATGTTGTGTGACAGAAAATTATTTGAAAGTTTCCTCCCGGTCAGAATAAGAAAATACAAGTTTGATTTCTCCTTTTGGGAACATTAGTATAACTCCTGGTCTATGTTGCATTGCATACTGCACCAAAAGGCATTACTTACAGCAAAGGTATTACTAATCCATCTCTTCCTGTTTTTGTGTTTTGATTGTCATCTAAAAACCAAATGTGTGCAACAAATCTGTGACACAAAGACTGACGTTAAGATTGAACATTTATTACAGAAAAAACATTTGAATTCCTGTTAATAGATCTTTGCTGCGAACTACCTTCAGACCACATTTATATGAGGAATCTGTCATACACGTATTAACTCAATGGATTTATCTTGAGTCAACAAATCTTTCAATTCCAAGCATTACATTTCAGTGGTTCTTGAGCAGACCAGGTTCCCTGTTGTCACTGAGAATACATTTGAATTTCTGATAGATTCTAATCCTTTTTTCCACGGTTCTCTAATTCTCAAACAACAATGTGCAGTTTTGCAACACATATTGTCAGTGGAAGAAAAGGGAACACCTTGGTTGTTCTTGTCTGGCTTTCTTCACCGAGGAAATTATAAAGACAAGGAAGAAGAAGCTTTTTTCACAGCACTATCTGTTCCTGCAAAGATAAACTGTAGGTGGTCCAAAGGCAGAGACCTTCAGTCCCACGACATTTCATCTGAACGTTATTGTGTACTTCATGTAATAAAAAGCATTTCAGTTATGACGTCAGTCTTCTCAAAGCACTGTGGCCTCAAATTGGTTATACAAATAGAAAATGAAGAATACATTAGACAATTCTTCGTTCTATCTCCATCTTTAGCCTGTATCCACTTTCAAAAAGAAAAATCAGCTTGGTTATATTTTCAGAGCAGTGACAGCTGAGTGTGTCTGGGCATGTGTGTGTAGGTGTGTCTGTGTGTGTGTATGTGTATGTACACCACTGAGGCAGGAAATATGAAAATATTGTAATCAAGGAGGTGATGAGGAACATGCTGATGGGACCTCCTGGCTTATCAAAACACATTAACAACACCACTGTCCAGAGTGTGCGCGCACACACACAGATAGCAGGATACACAGACAACTAGAAGATAGAGTGATACAATATATTGTATTGAAATGCAATAAATAGTCAATGTATTATAAAATGGGGTTGAAACTAAGCTTCTTGCACCAGCTAGCTAGGTAGCTATCTGCTAGCAATAGATAGATAGATCTGATAAACATACCCAATGCACCACACACGCTGCTCAAAGAGCTGGTTAGCAGGATTATCAAAGACAGCAGCATGCACAGGGGAGAGGGGCTCAGGCTGAGCCCCAGGATTGGCCTCCTGGACTGGGCTAGAACACTTGTCCTGGGCAGAGGCATGGCACCACCGTGGGCTGGTTGGAGATGATGGAGATATGGGGAGGGCTTCACTCAGCAGGGGTAGGCACTCTACAGACACACACAAACACAAAAAAAATGAAGGTCACCTTAGATGAATAAAAGGCATATTTCATCCACTCTGGACTCATCCTTGTGCTTCTGGCATGGCATTGACATGTCAGTGCACTGTGAGAGGAGAGGAAAACATTTGGTGGGTGAAACAACAATTCATACAGATGTAAAAAAAAACATCTTCATGAAGAAAAGTCATGCTAATGTAGGATTAGGTCGTTAGATTTAGAGCACTTCAGATTTGGGATTAACAGATCAAGCAGGCCAGCACTGACTGAACTAATGCCAGAACAACAGAGCCACTGCTCAACAACTAAGAAAAGAAACAGACAAAAATAGTCTTCACCAAACTATTTCTATATTAATAAGTTTCCTTTTCTAGTGAGCCGTGAAATTAGCTGCAATGATACATTTTTAAAAGTTTCTTTTTTTGCTGAGACACCCCAGTAATTTCATTTTAGCTGTGATCTAATTCCTTCTTAGTGTTCACTGTTTTACTATTCTGGTGGCACATAAAAGTGTTAATACAATAATACATCCAGAGTGCCACACTAATGGAAAACACTTAAATAAAGAGGGCTGAGGGGTCAGTAGAAATGCAGCAAAATTCAATAAAAGCAAATGTATCAAACCGCTACTTTAATAGATCCCCCCCCGTTAATCTTTATTAGCCTTTGGGGGGTGGATCTCCATCAGTAATTTGCTCTTGTTCCTCACATAAACACATGCACACATAATCACACATCTGGAACTCTGAACATAATTCAGCTCTGTCTGCTTACAGAGATTTAGACAAGCTGTGCAGAAGCTCCCTGTCTGGGAGTCAATAATTCCTCAGTCCAATGGAGCCCTGCCGACCCCCACCCCTCTGCTCCATGTGTCAGAATGCAGGTGGGGAGGCCAAATGAGAAAGGAGCCTTTGTTAACCCGTCATATATCACACAGACACACATACACATCGCCCTTCAAGTCAGCATACAGAAAACATATAAGCTCTGGTGGAGTCGTGCTATGTTTTCACAGGTGACAGGCCACACTGTGATCAGAACATGTATGCAAACACACCTATAAGCACACTTTCAACCACCTATAAACACACAGGCAGAAACAGAGGAGCAGAGATTAGGCCAATCCTTCCAAGCCTTTACTAAATGAAAGAGGCATTTCTGGTGAGTTACATATTCAAAGACTCCACCAGCCACTTACTGAGCTAATGACCTGCTCAAACACATTACTGTCTGCCAGTCCCTACACTAAAAATATCTCATCTGAAAACACGACTGTCTATCTGATTCTGGCTTTTTTTTTTCCCTCTTCCCGCTCTGCTCTCGTCTTATCTGACGCCGCGTAATAGACGAACAGAGAAGCTTTCAGCGTCCCCTTTTCAATTGAACAATGTGATAAGAAAAATCAGATCAGAGCTCATTCAAGCACCATTGGCAGCATGTTAAGTAAATTCTCCTCTTACAGAAACTCAATTTGCCACTGTTAATCTAACTAAGCCTACTGCTCTGCGTGGAGCCACATGGCCACTGAAACATTAGGTGCTGCTTGTATGTTGCAGTGTCTGCTTCCCCCCTGTCCTGTGGAGTGGATATGCTGGGGCCTTTAGTTTATCCAGCCCTCCCCATTGTATTTCACCTGCTGACAAAGCCCCCTCTGTTCTACCTCGACTATAGTCCCTCACCCTCTACCTAATTCTTGTCTCACTACATATAAGTCTCCATATTCTTGAAATCTCCTCTTCTCCCATCCCATTCATCCACTTTCCACTTTCCTCCTCATCTTCCTTGTTAACTTCTTCTCTCAGTCATCTCCTTTTTCTTTCTATGCACACTCTAAACCCTGCTCGAAGCCAAATCCTCTTCCTCTGCCCAGCTGCCCCGCACTGGCTGCTCCAGCTGTTGTTCGTCCATTGGCACAGTTCACACAACAGCGCTTAAGAGCATCCTACAGCTGTGAACGTTGCGGGAGTGAGCCAAAACAAATGCGGCAGCACACCAGGGTGGCCTGGGCACGTCCATGCTTGTGCTATGCTGATATTTAACATTACTTCTCTGCACATAGAGGACAGCCGTGCATGGCGCTTGAATTAAGAGGTGCAAGCATTGTGAGCTAGAATATTCTCATGACTAAGGCCTACCCACAGTCTCTATGGCCCCCTCACAGACATCGCAACCTGCTCTCTCTGATCATCTAGTTAAGACAGCAGGAGTCGGTCTTATTACCTTTTCAGTGTGACACCACAGATGGTCAGCCAGACAGATAGATTGATGGGGATACATGCGCTATTTATTGCTGAAAGCAGATAATGACACCACAGCTCAGGTGGTGTAATGTACGCTGGTTATTGTGCTCCATCAGGCTGATGAAATAACACTGTTTAGGTGGCATCAAACCTGCCCCTGCTCCACTGGGGCCCTTGGAAGATGACATGCTTTGTTTTTCTCACCTCATCCCCAACCTGCACCGCCTCCCACCCCCCTCCCCCACCCACCGCTTTTACCCATGATGCCTTTGTGGGTTGAGATGGTCTCCCAAGGCCTGTCTCCATGACAACAAGCTACGAGTGCTCACAGAAAGACCAGCTCTGTTTCCTGCTGCTTCCTGGCATGCTAGTTGTGAGAGAGTACACCTGATAGGATGCTCTGGTTCTTTTTATTTCTTTGAGCTTTAATTGGGATCCAGTGCTGTGCGCAAGCATTGGCTGTGCATTGTGATGCTTGGAAGACCTGGTTCAGCGGAAAAAAGACCGGAAAACTTTGTTTTATTTTTTCCGCTTTTAAGGAGACATGAGGAGAGGAGAAATTCCATGACTGTGCAATGCATCACTGAACTTTTTATGGTGGTAAAACAAGATTAAATCCATGGTCACATTTTTAAACAATGATTCTGAAATTTGTGTACATGTATTTTATATGCATAGAAATAACCTTATCTTAAATTATGCACAACTTTGCGTGTCTGCTTGGAAAGGAAAGGAGGAACTGGGGCTGATATTACCTCACATTTCCTGTTTCTGAACTCTGTAAGCAAACAACACTCACATATGCACGTACACCCACAGCGTCATACTCACACTAAAGCATAGACACCCATACAAACACACATAAATATGGCAGATGGCAAACCATCATGGGGGAGATTGGCACTCGCTTTCTCACACTTCCTCTTCTCTCTCTCTCTCTTAACCACAAAGTGCAAAACAACTATATGGACGTGCATACTTCAGCACACACAAGCACACACAAGCACACGTTGAGGAACAGAGGCACAGGATGAAGCATGGCTCACTGCAGGCATGAGCTGCACCGCCCTGGTTACATTTTTAGCAGTGGAAATAAAATATCTGAGGCTCCTCTCTAACAAGAAAACACACCTGTCATTCAAAAACTGATTCTTTGCCCTGAATATAAATGAATCTGGAGACTCGGGTACCACACCTAAGCCTCTATCAGCTCTGCTTAATGCTGCAGGATGCTGAAATTTAGGAGTCTGGATGCCCCATACTACACATCATTATCATGGGAAACACTGATATATAGCAAAAACATTCTCAACAAGAAGCAGCAGTTTTCATCACCGGTATGAAGCTATAAACAAGGTTTCCAGTGGAGTTTCCAATCACCCTGCTGAGAGCAAATATGACTCATGGAAACAGCCACATAACACCAAACCTGTAGGCACAGAAGTAAAGCCTATATATATGTCAGTATTTATTATGTCTTTCTTGTTCAAGCAGTGTTCTGATACACTGATTAAATAATTATATTATTTAATTTAGCTATTTATCTTGATTCTATACATTTTTGTTTTCCAGTTCATGTCACTATAAATGCATTAATCTGATTGGGCGTTGACCGATGGTCAGATTAAACAAATTAAATCATCACTCTGAGCTCTGGTAGATGGTGATTTGCATTTCTCATTATTAATTTACTAATTACTAAACTAATTTATGATGTCAATTTCTAATTACACACTAAATCATTCATTCGTCTCAAAAGAACAGTTCAGTTGATCATGAAAAAAAAGAAGTTGACATAACATGGTGTATTTTCTCAGGAAATCATAAATGACTCGATGCTAAATGTGTCTGTTTTTACCGTGTTGTTCTGATCTCTCTCACAAAATTGGTTTCCGGCCTCAGCAGGACTTAATTTAAAACAATGTGTTGTTTTCATTGTCATGTTTGGAACAGAGGAACAATACAATAATGGTTTGCTGACAGTCTGTACAGTGGTATGCTACTTTTTATACTCATTCTATTCCTACATAACTCATTGTGTGATCTTCAGAAAACCTGCAGGATTGTCTTATAATTATGAAGTGATGATATCAGAATCATAAAAACAACTTTCTTGGGATCCTGTGAAAATAGAACTTAACAATTGTAACTAACCACATCCTCTGTCTGTCAGTTTTGCTTGAGGTCACAATTTAATTAACTGATCACCTGTAGCTACTGTAGCAGCATAGAAGACACTAAGCATTAAAGAATGATAAACTTCTGCTTATACAAGTGTAAAATTCCCTCAACACTAGACTTTCCCTTCACTTTAGTCAGCAACACTCTCACTCTCTGACCCATCTGTCTAATCCCAGCAGATAGAAGCTATCAGCCTTTCATCAACAAAATTACATACAGTACCAGCATGGGTACTGTTTCCAACCATTTCAGCTGTTATACTGTTCCTCATAAAAGAAAAAAAAAACCTGGACGTGCTTCAGGTTTTGTTCGTCACAACTCTCTTCCATAGCCAAGTCATCACAGGGATTCATGATGAAAGGGGAGGACTAGAGAGAGAGGAGTGACTGGAAACATCTCTCCAAATAACCAGACTAACTTTCCCTTTGACCTCAATCTCTGCACGTCTAGGACAGAGCAAAGCTGCTGCCGCCCAACAATGGTGCAGCAAATGTAAACCCGTGCATCTTAAAGGGGCTCCGGGGTGAGCCAGACCAACGCAGTTAGAAAGAGGCGTCTAGTAATGAAT